ATCACGTTCCTAATGACTGCACGTTTCACTGCAGCAGGATGTGAAGACGTTGCGTGAATCAGGATATTTTTACAGCTAGGTTTGCGGTACCATTTCACGTGAACAATGCCATTGGACAGCTTCACCCGTGTGTTTAGGTATGGTAGCCAACCGTGTGTTGGTACCTCTCCTGTGGGCTTTATGTACTGCGAATGCTCATTTAGTAATTCGGAAACACTCATCCATTTTCGGATTAGGTTGATGTTATAATGAAGAAGTCATCGATATAACTGCAGTACATCAAAGTACTGGTTCTTCAATCCTGCTCATGAAGCAGACAGCAAGTGCTGGTGCTAGTCGCTGATCTACTGCTAAACCCCTTACATTGAGAGTAGTAGTGTCCTGACCATTTGAAGATATTGCAACGCAAGCATTCTTCAACCAGAGTCATGATGTGCACTTTATTAAGTCCAAAGGTGTCAATGGCAGCCACATACCTATCCAACATTTCGGATAAGGCCTGTAGCGCTTGCTCGCTTTGGATGTTCGTGTAAAGTGCAGTGACATCAAATGACTCCACTATACAATCGTTTCCGAAATTCGGATTGCGTTGTCGCTGAAGGAATTGCTGCGTGATGATCAGGTGAAAGGGGATTCTGGTCAGCAACTGGCTCACTATCGCATTAAGGTACCATGATATCCGGTCGGTTATTTCACCTGAGCAGCTTATTATAGGTCTTATCTTGTATGTGTCCGATGACTGATTACTAAATCATTGCCTCGTCAGGAGCTAGCTTGTGGGTCTCGATTAGACTATAAAGGACTGGACAAGCGGGATTGTCAAGCCTGAGTCTAAAAAAATTTCTATCAATTCCGGCAGACTCTCCCACCGTCATCCATACACGAATTGGATTAACTGAATGACCGCAATCGCGTAGTCAGGAAAGCTCACACGTCATGACCACACGTTGACTACCATACCTAAATAAGCAGGTCAGGCTGTCCAGTGGCATTGCTAACGTGAAATGGTACCGCAAACCTAGCTGTAAAAACATCTCGATTCACGCAACGTCTTCACATCCTGTTGCAGTGGAACGTGCAGTCATCAGGCACATATTCACAACAGCAACCACGATGTGCACAGGAGATGAAGAACGACTAGGGTCAAGAGCTCTAGCTTTGAAAGTTGCTAGAGAGAATGGCTATGCGGCACGAGACCATCGCAGGAGATCGAATGTTAGCCTACGACATGCAACTCGTCAGGGGAAGCTCCCCTTATGCCTTCCTTTTATCTACGATAATATCAGCACTGACAAGGGAGGTGTTTCAGGTCATGGCGCGCTTTTTGGAAATGGTTTGTTGCTTGTTGTAGGGGTCCATACAAGGGTCACAAAAATGGGTTTCATTTTGCTATGCGTTTCTGGGTAGGTCAAAAACTGAATGCTGAAAGACATTATGACAGGAATGGGCGGTTTCTAGCCTTTAATGGGCTCCGCTTCTGCTTGTAACTTCGAGCACTTCTTTAAACATGTTTGGACTGCTAGAATGGATCTTCTCCTTGAGAGAGACACACGGTACTGTGTGGGTTGAAATCATAGAGGACCCATCTCTCATCTCCACTAAGCAGTCTCCTAGAAACTCCTTTTGACGAGGCGGAGAAGGGGAGACTGACCAAGGGGTACCCGGGTGCACAGCGTGCCATCGGTCAAGGTATGAGTGATCCATCGAGCCAGTACTTTTCGGTAGTCAAGGCTTGCAGGCGGTCGACTACTGTCAGTTAGGTACATCCGAGTCTTGTCGCAAGACTGCGGGTGGTAGCCTCCGGATCCTCCTTGTTTGCTTCGAGAATGGTGGAGTCTTCCGTTCCGTGGGACCGTCCCAACCAAGGTTTGCCTTCGAGGTTCGAGTCTCTTTTCGCCCTGCGAGCGAACCAAAAGTGAACGGTCCTGATGGTACAGGTGTCCTCCAGCAATGCACTGTTGATGTTGCGGACAGCTGCCGTGGCTCCAGTGCTGCGGGGCCACCGATACATGATGATGACCCGAAGATGCTCCTGTGAAACTGACATCGTAATTAGACCCAGGAAAGAGCAGGCGCCCTCACACACCTCTTGCACGAAAGCTCTTAGAATGTTCTACAAGCATGGCATGTTACGTCATGTTCAAGCATCGAGAATCAAAAACTGTAACCTTCTTAAAAAACACTGACAGGACTTTCCTTCCAACCTACATTTTTCAAGAAAAAGGCTGCAGAGGGGAAGGGGACAATGACTGTTGGAATCAGGAGCACATATTTTTCCGTTTTCGTTTTTATCGGCTGAACCTATTCCTTGACTTTTCAAGGGTTTTATACCCAAGATGAACCATTGGACAGTCGATATTCTTCTAGGAACTGGCCCACGTTCCGCAAACCTTCAAACAGCTTTTTTTCGTATCTTCCCTCATGAAAAACCTTTTTATTTCGAGCATTCCTTTCAAGAAGGGATCCAAATTTCAACAGCTTAACCGGCTCGAAAACAGTTCATTCTTGTAGAAGCGGAGAATACCGCCCACAACTGTCATGTCAGAAGCGAAGAACTCCCCCGACTGCCATGCGTCCAAGGTCAGTCCGTGCGGCACACTAACGGGCTTCCGTTCTCCTTTACATTCTTACAAGCTGG